GCAGCGCTGGGTGCCCTCTCCTTCTTGTGGCCTGCGGGTGGCGCTGCGGCGACAGGCGGTCTGGGGTACCGCGCCGCACACGGCGTCCTGCTGCAGGCTCTGGATGAGATGCGGGCAGACGCTGAGGCGGTGCTGGCACCTGGTGAGCCAGCCCAGTAAGGGGTGGGGTAGGATGGGGTCCTGGGCTTCCAGCTCGGGTGGGGGTTTGAAAGCCTGAACCTGACGCAAGGGGGAGGGGGGAGTCTGCTACTGGGAGTCTTTGCACTTGGGGGTGCAGGCCCCGACTTCTGGTTGGGGTGTGTGGCGTCCTAAAGGTGAGCAGAACTTGGGGGGAGCGGGATTTCTGATTTTTCTGTGGACCCGGGAGTATACTATCCAGACTCCTGGAGGGAGTGGTACATCCTTGTCTCCAGCTACCTTACAGGACGTCTGGTTTCCAAGGGAGACAGGTTAAAAGCCTTGCTTCCTGAGGAGGCCCACAGCTGGGGACCTGGACATCAGTATAGGAGCCTGGGTGCTCCAGGGAGCCAGAATCCTTGGGCTTCCGGATCTGACAGGGAAACGGCCTAAGTTTGAATCTTCATGGGGTGGGGGGTTGCCTGAGGTCTCAGAGGACTGTGCTTTGGTTGCTAATTCTTGAGCGTTGGGAAGTCTACGTCTGGAGACGTAGCACGGGGCGGATGGCAGAGCTGTGGACCCCTGGGTCTCCTGGGGAGTGAAGGGATGTCTGACACTGTCTGGGGATCTGGTGTAAGAAGGATGATCACAACAGAAATGGAGAGAAAGGGCTAGAGGTCTGAACTTGATGGGCCCTGAGGGTGGGGAGACCATGAGCGAGGCCTGCATGTGGCAGAGTAAGAACTTGCACTTCAAAGCTGCCTCCCACAGGTCCTAGGTGAGCTTCATCCTGTACGTCCTGAAAGAGCAGCTGCCTCTCTTTCTGTGAGTTTGACTGGGGAGGCACAAGACTGCCCCCATCTTTTAGGTGCTAAGTAATGCAGAGGATCTTGGGTGTGCGTTTCTCTCCTTCATGGTGTGCTTTTGTTTTTGTTTTGTCTGGGTTTAACCCTTTTGGCCTTGGTGTTTTGTGGACCTACCTGCCTTTTTGGAGAAGCGGCTGTCCTGCTGCGCTAGTCCAGACATCTTGATGGGACCTCCCTGAGAGGCTATCATCTGGTTACACAAAGGATGTGTCTTTGGGCACGGCTCCCCCAGAATGGCTGGGCAGGCATCACAGACTGTGGGAGCAAATGTGAACCTGCCAGGCAGGACTGAGGCAAAGGCAGAAAAAAACCACAGTGCCTGCGATGTTCTAGGCCACAAGTTACAGGATTTTTCAATGCCAAAACTGGAAAAAGGGAAGAGGAGAGCAAGTCTAGAGAGAGCAGGCCAGAGGTACAGCTGCACAAAGCAAAGCTCTGTGTGGTCTGGTCCCTGCCTTTTCTCAGCCTCTACCCCATCTCAACCCCAACCAGGCTGAGAGATGTTTCTGATGTTTGAATAGGTCACACTGAGTTCTGCCTCAGGACCCTTGCACTTGCTGTTCTTTCCTGAAGTGCAGTGCCCCCTCATCTTCCCACGATCGGCTCCTTGTTCATAAGGTCTCCACTCAAATGGTCCCTCAGAGAGGTCTTCTGTATTCACCCTCACGAAAGCAGCTTGTACACCCCCATTTCTCATTCTGGCCAGTTGATTTTTTTTAGGAAATATTACTATAAAAATGATGTTATTTATTTGCCCATTTATTGGCTGTTGTTCCTTTGCCTGTCGTGTTCCCTGGTGTACTGCCAGCGTAAAACATTGCGTGACACTCTGCAGGTGATTAGTGACTATTTATTCATTGATCAGTGGCAGAACTAAGGCTAGAATTTAGATTGTTACCTTTTTGTCACAGAAAGGACAAAGGAATAAGAGCTGGAGAAGAAGCAGGCATTAAATGGAAGCGAACATTCCAGTTTGAGGTCAGGGGACCTAGGACACAAGTGTGGTTTTGTCACTGTCATTCTGGGTCACGTGGGCCGGTGCCTTATTTGCCCATCTCTGGACTGAAAGGGCTGGGCCCAAACCACAAATACTTCCAGAATCCTATTTCTTTGACAGCTGAAGGCAGTGAGTTGCGGGGTGGCACCCCCTTATGCAGTTTGAACTCTCACCTCCAGCACAGCTTGTCCCCCTTGGTCGAGATGGCCAGGAGGGGAAAGCACTTGACCTTGTGCTGAATGGCTACTCGGCTCCTGCAGCCTTAGAGGAAGGGGATTCACTTGAGTCCAACATCCCTCCTGGTCTCCACAGGGTGGCGCTGGAGCCCCTCAGGCAAGCGTGAGAAAGCAGCTGTCTGACAGAAACATAGGTCACTGAGTGTCCTAGAAGCCGAAGCAGAAGAGTAGCCGTGCAACTCACAGCAGTGTGTCATAGTTACCCCATATTATCATTTCAACATATAATCAGTGTTTTAAAGATACTGAGATCCTTTATCTTTTATGCTAAGTCTTCAAAATTTGATAGGTACTTTACACTTAGAGCGCATCTCAATTCGGAGAAGAAATTGTCAGGGTCGGTGCTGGACTTCTATTTATACTTTGTAAGTTTATAATAAGAGAAGTAGATTCACATACCAAGGTTGCCCCCGTGATACCGACTAGTTTATCAGTAATGGATATGAGTATCATGTTCAAGTGAATTAAAAGCAAACAGAAACAAAATTCAGTTTCTCAGTTGCGCTGGCCGCGTTTCAAGTACTCCTCTGTGGCTAGAAGTATTGAGTGGTCCAGACTTAGGACATGTCTGAGGAGAGGAAACCCTATTAGCATAGCTCTAGGGTCACTTTGGAGATGACCTTGGGCAAGTCACACAGCGAGTGGCATCTACCTCACACCGTCCCTACGAGAATTCACTGTCCGTGCACACACGCATACACACGTGTGTGGAACAGACTGCAGCCCTCGTGAGTAGGGCACAGTGGGCGCTCAAACATTAGTCTTGTTGCCCCTGCCCACACTCAGTCTTGGGCAGTACTGCGATCACTCTGGTTTAGGCATCTTCTGTTGGCCCCATGCCTTTACTGACACAGTGCCCTCTTTTGTCACTTCTCCATCCTCCGATTCAGTCCTGCCTGACATCTCTGCTGCTGTTGCTGCTGTATTTCCCTCTGCCCTCCTTCCAGCTGAAATCAGGCCAGTGATCATACACAGTGGAAGTAAGGTGATTGTGTGTGTGTGTGTGTGCGCGTGCGCGCGCGCCTGCTGAGTTCTACCTGTATTTATGTAGTTGTATGTTGGCACCCTTGGGTTTCACAACTACTCTTTGGGATGGTTGCATTTTACATAATGACTCAATGGAATTCAACTTTAGGTTTTGTGCAGGCATAAACTTGTGAGGGAGGCATCTATCTCTGGGAGCATTGAAGCAGAAAAAACTCAGACTCCCTTGTGGACAGATGACTAGCTGCCATCAGGGTGTGTCCATGTGACAGCTCAGGGCAGGAGTCCCAAAAATGTGTGACTCCTGGCATTGCCATTACCCGGTGCAGAACAGGCCCCAAAACATAGAATTTTGTACGTTTCTGGGTAACGATGGAGGGACTTATTGTCTGTAATAATGGAGAAAAAGGAGGTCAAACCAAGGGTGTGGGTGGCCTGTGGTGTTTTTTGGAGGAATGAATAAAAATGAGTAGAAATCTTATTGTGTGTTATTTTGGGGTTTGAAGGGAAGAAAGGATGGTTGGGATTTCTGGCTGAGCTGAAAGCCTGGACTCCGGGGCCTGAGGGTGGTGACTCTTGATCCGGGAAGAGGAGGGATGGTAGGGAATCTGTCAGGAAAGAATTCCTTGGGCTGGGATCAGGAGACTTTATCCATTATGTCTGAGTTTTGCCATCCTGGGAGTGGGGACTTTGTACTAGGTCGCTGTTAGGAACTTGAGGATTAGTGATGGTCAAGCACCTTACGTCTGGAACTAGTGTGACCCAGGAATGCCCTGGTTTGTTTATCGTCTGTGCAGCCAGGCCCTTGGATCGTCATCCTCATCCTCACTCTAGACTTTGGCCATTGGGACAACAGTGTCCTGTTGATGTAAGCAGAGGCTTGGAAGTGCTTGTGCACTGGGACTTCCTCTCTGGCTGTCCATGGGGCCACTGCATCAAGAAGCCCAGGTGAGGGGCGAGGGTTTAGCTCAGTGGTTCTGCCACCTGCTTCACAAGCACAAGGACCTAAGTTCAATCCCCAGTACCAAAAAAAAAAAGAAGCCCAGGCTGACTTGCTGGGTGATAAAGGGACACAGCCCAGCTATCCTTGGTACCCCACAGCACAGCCCGCCAACCCTCTGAAACAGCAGAAGCAGCACCCAGCTGGTCCAAAACTGAGCTGCCAACACACAGAATCATGCACTAAATAAAAGGTGATTCCTCCAGACTACTAAGTTTTGGAGTGGTTTTTTAACAAAGTGAAAATCGCAGATACTGATTTTTTTTCCTGTCTGTGATGTGGTGGTCTCTCTGCTCCCAGCATGAGCCAGATATTAACATCTTCAACTCCTTCCTTGAGTCTCAGATTCATCTCCTGCAAACAAGGATGAGGATAACAGTGCCTCCCACACACAGCTGTCACGGAGCTAACACAAGAAACAGCCTGCAACTGGGCGTGTTGGTATAGGCCTGTGATCCCAGCCCTTGGGCAGGAGGATTGGAAGTTCAAACCCAGCCTAGGCACCTTATTCAGACCAATGTGAAAATAAAAGGGGGATGTAGTGATGTAGCTCAGTATGAAGGCTCTGGGCCTTTATTTAATTTTAAAATAAATGTATTTATTTTGAGACAGCAGCTCACTATCTAAATTCAGGCTGGCCTTGAACTATGTAGCCCAGGCTGGCCTCCAACTTGCGGCAGTCCTCCTGCCTCAGCCTCCCATGAGCTGGGATTACAGGGTACACCACCATGCCCAGTAATTCTGAGCCTCCGAGAAGCCACGGTCAGTGCGAAGCATGCCCGGCTCTCAGCCTTCTGATCCTGGGGCAGAATTGCACTTCCTGACCTCCCTGTGGTTCAGGTAAGGCCAAGTGACTAGCTCCATCCAGTGAGTGGACACTGGATGGGTCATTTCTGGGTCACAGCTTTGATAATCACACAACTTTCCTGGGCTCATTCCTTGGGTGCAGAAATCGGTCATGTTGAAGTTGGTGGCTGCTCTGTGACTCTTAATGAGTAGATGGTGCTAAACAAGTACTAGAGTGAAGGACACATTAGCCTTTTGTGACTAATCACTTAGCAAGTATCCACCCCTCTCCCAACCTCTGGAGAGGGACCATACTTTCCTGCTCCACTAAGTTTGGTTTGGGCCATGGGACTCACCCTAGTGGAACGTCAGAGTCTTAACCTCCTCAAGGGCCTGAAATGCGCTTGACTTTTATGCTTCTGTGACCTGTGCTGAGAACATCTGCCTGGAAGCCATGGATCCAGGACACTGGAAGCATCTGGAGGAGACAATTCCCCCCAGCCAAACTGGCCAGCACACGACTAGAAAAGGAGCCACCCCGCCAGCCCACAAAACCTTCGAAGCAAGACTGCTCGTCCTAAATCTGAGATCGGAGATAGCTTATTACGAGGCCCTGGCAGCATTTGGTGACTCACACAACTTTGTTGTTTTAAACCAGAGATTACGGACTTGTTTGTTACTGTAACATAATCTAGTCTGCCCCGGACTGCTGCAGTGGTTAGCACCTGCCCACAAATGGCCACTCGGTAAGTGGTAGCTATTAGGATGATTACTATTTATTCAGACATTGTCTGCAGAGCCATCATTCTCTTCAAGGTGGCAGGCACTGCACTGAGTAGTTTTCACGCTTCATTTACCTCTTACCACAACGAGATGAGGTTCCCGATGAGGTTGTAACTGTTGACATCCACATTCTGCAGAAATGAAAACAGAGGCAAACAGAGGGAGAGGTTAATCGGGAGAGCTGATCGAGGACCGTGGTGTGACGGACTGAGGTTCAAATCAGGGTTCTGAATCTTCCGAGCTGACCCGAGGCAAGAGACACGGGATCTGCCTCAGTTTGTTAGTCCATAAAGTGGGATGATAACGTCGGATTCATAGAGTTATTGTGATTGTAAGATGAGGCATAGCAAGGAAAGCCTTAGCGCAGGGCCTGGCAACTAGTGTCCCTCCGTAAAAGGCAGGGTCTTCCCTCTCTTTCCCACAGAGAGGGAGTCGGGAAAGAAGGCTGAGGCCAGAACCCGCTACATCCCACCTCCCCAATGCATCACGTCACACGGACTCAGGCTTGCTCTGTTAACTTTAATTTATATGCACGTGGTGGGCTGTGGGCTGAGGACGGATGGGGACCTCAGGCCACACATATTCCTTGGTCCTTCACTCAGCCCTGCCATAAGGCAAGGAGGCTTCGTGGCAGTCGGCCCGGTTGAGGAAGTAGTAGTAGGAGGCTGAGGGCACCTCCGCCCCAGCCTTGGTGTGGCAGGCACTCTCCGTGGCACAGCCCCGAGTGGCAAACTTGGCGCTGATGATTCCTGGGAGGAAGATTTCAGACTGGAGTCAGCCCTTCCCACTGCATAACTCAGGAACTCGGCCTCCCCTCCTCCTCCCCTAGAACAGAACACTTTGGGCCTCCAGTCCTGGGACCCCGTCCTCTCTTTCAGAGCGAGGCTCCACTCACCAGTCTTTGCTCTGCCCGCCAAGTAGATGCAGTGGGTTTCCTGGCCAACGCACTGGACTAGCTCCGTTGTCACGCATGTATCCCGGAAAGGCACCACACAGGAGGGGCACGACAGGCCATTCACGGTGCGATTGTACTGGGGAGCTGGGCACGAGGTGACATGGAAGGAGGGTTGTAGGTGGAAGCCCTGATCCCAGCCTCCCCCAGGTGGACACTGCATTTTACAGGTAAGGAAACTGAGGCTCAGAACCAGCCAGGCCTTTGGGGTGGGGCTGCCTCAGCAGGGCTGAGCTGGCACTTACGGGGCACAGAGCCACGGTTGCAGCCATCCCTTTGGCAACAATGCGTGTTGGTCACCATGTAATTATTGGGTCCCATGGTGGTGGACACGTAGCCCGAGTGGCAGTCTCTGGATTTCATGCAGGCCTTGACGGTGCTCACATAAGGGCCCTCTGTGGAGTGGGAGGAGGAGCTGAGGGCAGGCGGCGCTGGCCCACTGCTGGCTTACACTGTGTCCTAAGTCTGCCCCCCACCAGCCCTGCAACTCCTTTGGGTGATCTTTTCCAGCAGACTCCCGAATTCACCTGCTCCTGAATGGTTTTATTAGGGAGCCCTCCCTCCTGTACCACGAGCCAGGTCCGCCTCTTGTCGTCTCCCTTCGGCTCACGTAGCCAACACCCAAGTGCCCACTGGATGTGGTTCCTTTTACCCTCTCCACCTCCCCCGTACTTCTCCAAGGTGCCTGCGGCCACCCCTGTGCCTAAGTAAAAGTGGTCTCTTCCAGCCTTCAGGCCTTTCAGGTCCCTCCTCACCGCTGTCACGTGTCACAGTCTCCTATAGCAGCTTCCTTTCACACACTCCCTCCCTCCCTCGGGTCCTCACGTTTTCTTCCTGCTGTCAGAGCTGACTTTCACGGTCACAGCCTTCATACCCTCACCCTGGTCAGGGGATTTCTCTGAGGCTCATGGTCTCTTTCGGCTGGGGAGTTAAGATGCCCACTTTCCCCGCTCCATCCTGTGCAGAGGTCTGCATTGCTCCCTTTTGCCTCTGCTCCCTCAGGTCTGAGGCGGGTTCTTTCATCGAAGTCAAGCCCCCCCATTTTACTCATCCACCTCCCCACCTCTACTTTAAAACGTCTTAATTAATTTATTTATTTGAGACAGGGTCTTGCTGTTTAGTTCTGGCTGGCCTTAAACCTGCAGTGATCCTCCTGCCTCAGCTCCCAAGCACTGACATTACAGGCGTGTGCCACCACACCTGGCCATTATTATTATTATTATTAATTATTGGCATTACTCAGGACCTCCACATTGAATGGCATCCACAGCTCTTTTTTATTTTGAGACTGGGTCTCCTTGAGTCGCTAAATTGTCCGGGCTGAGCTCCAACTTGGATCCTCTTGCTGGGCCACCACACCCAGCTTCTACTTCCCTTTATGTAGGTTTGCCCCTTTCTTGGGGGTTACCTTCCCTCTCCGGTCTGGAGTGCTTGCTTTTCTGTGTTTTCTCCTACCCTAACCTCATCTGTCTTCTTTCAGGAAAGGTCTCTTCCCTGGTCACATCCCCCAATCCCAGCGCAGCCCAGAGCAGCCTCTTTTTCACCTGAGAACTGTGACCACACCCTCCGCATCTTCAACCCTTACCCTCCACCACCCCCTACCGCTCATCCCTCTCCGCTCACCCCCACCCTTCCACCCCGCCTCGCGCAGGACGCCACCCCCTCCTACTTTCATAGGACTCGCTCACGATAATCGCACACGTGTCCTTGCCGTCCTCGCACTGCCTCATTTTCCCGCTGCATGTTTTCTCGGGGCCATTACACACTTCGCAGGTTAGACTGCACCCTGCAACACAGAGCGGGAGGCAGGAGTCATTGGTGCAGTCTCCAGACCATGAATTTCAACACTGGAGTTCAGAAGGGTCGGGGAGCCGGGCGTGGTGCTGTACACCAGTATCCCAACACTCGGGAGGCTGAGGCAGGAGGATCATCGCCAGTTCGAGGCCAGCCTGAGCTACATAGTGAGTTCAAGGCCAGCCTGAAATGCATACATAGCAAAACAAAAACAAACAAAAAAGGTAGAGAAGAGGGACTTTTGCCTCTTGAGGGAGGAGGAACCGGTATTACCCTGGTTTTTCAAGGGTGGGGCATTGATTACTGTCCAAGGAACTGTCCAGAGTCTGACAAGGAAACCTGGATGATGCCAGCAAAGTGGCTTCCAGCGGCGGGAAGTGACTACCGTGGAGCCTGTTCACCTAATTACAAGGCTGGGGACTTTGGACGCCAGGGTCCTCTGAGCCGGCTCAGGGGCAGGGAGGGGTGGTGGCAAAGGTTTCCAGAGAGTTCTGTGAAATTTCAGGTCAGGCTGGTTCTTGGGTATTGGGTGTGGAAATTTCCTCCTTGGAGGTGCTGCATAAATTTTCTCAGATAGGGTCTGCCATGTATTCTAGGCTGGCCTTGAAGTGTAGCCTAGGGCTGACTTGGAATGTGTGACAATACTCCTGCCTCAGCCTCCCAAGTCCTGGGATTACCAGCATGTGCCCCCATGCCCAGTTTAATCCTTGATTTTTTTTTTTTTGTACCAGGGATCAAACTCAGGACCTTATGCTTGTAAGGTAGGCATGTGCCACTGAGCTAAATCCCCAGCCCAAGCCTTGTGGATAGTAGAAGCCCAGACTGAGGTACAGGAGGCTGGGGTCTGCATCCCAAATCAAGGACATGGGCCAGGGATTTAGCTCAGTGGTTTGGTGGCCTGCCTTGCAAGTGCAAGGACCCAAGTTCAATCCCTGGTACCAAAAAAAAAAAAAAAAAAAAAAAAAAAGGCGCAAAGTGTGGTTCAGGGGCTGAGGGCATGAATTCTTGGTCCTGAGGGAGGAGACAACTAGAGGCCTGGATACCTGAGTCCTAGACAGGGTGAAACTGCCCGAACTCTTGCATCTATAGGTAGGAGGAGGAAAGGCCTGGGTTCCTGAACTGCTGAATCCAGAGAGAAAGGAATTCTCTCCACCGTTTGAAAGATTGAATTTTAAAAGATTTCCTTTTGTAATCAATCTCTCATCCTAGAATTTCTCTGTCTTATTTTGGGACCCTGCCTGTGAGACAGAGGATTCGAAGCCCACCAACCCTGCTCTCCTACAGATCCAATCAAGCACTTTTCCCCTCACCCCAGGCTTTCTCATCCTTACCGTCTGACTTCTCTGTGAATCTGAACTTGCCCTTTCCCTCTTTAGGACGCTGCTGAATGCTCTCTCACAGTCTTTTCCTTCCTGGAAGCCACTCAGGTCCCTTGTCACTTACCGAGACCCATAAGGGTGCAGAGCAGCGTGAAGGCCAGCAGGAAGGTGTCCTGTCTTGTGGATAGCCCCATGGTGTGTGAAACTGCAGTCCCCGGGCCTCTGCCCTTATAAAAAGCTGGGGAGGGGCGGGCCCAGACCCACGTTCACCGTGGGGTGAAAAATAGCTGAGGTCAGAATCCAGGGCAGTCCTCTGCAGCCTCCGGGTACCAGCATCCAAAAGGAAGCTAAACATCTTGTGCCCAGCCTCCTTTGCCACCGGGATCCCAGGAGTCTGGACTTGCAGCACCCTCTTCCTCGAGGGCCTCAAAGGTTACTACTGCCTTGATTCCTGACCCCCACCCCATTCCCAGCGTGAGTGGGTCACTTGATTCCCTGCAGAGGTAGAGCGGCTGTGAAGACTGGGATCCCCCTTCTCCGTCTTCCCAAGGAGGCGCCTAGCGTGGGTGGGGTCCTACTTGGGAGCGCCTAGCATGTCCAAGCTCGTCCTGCGGGGGCTGGGGGCCTTGTCTCCCTTCCCTTCTTCAAATGCTTGACTCATACTCCCTCTTCTGTGTTTGGGCTGTTATAGCCCCAACCCCACCCAGGGCTGCACTTCTGGGTCTCAAGGGGACCGAACAGAAGGGTGCCCGTCAGCGGCCAAAGGGAGGTGTAGTAAGAAACAAGGGTCTGAAGGTCGTATGTTAGTGAACTGAGGCATTCTGGAAACACTCCAGGGTGTGTGTGTGTGTGTGTGGTTTGGGAATATGCTTTATTAATGGACCGTCCCCCGCCCCCGACCTCAGAGGGCTGAGAGAGGTGTGAGATTTCTCTCGTGTTTGTTTAGGGCGGAGAGAAATGTGTAGGCGCAGGAGGAGAAACGGAGATCCTGTTTTAGTAGGATCCAAGCTCCCTGAGAAAATCCACTCAGCTATCGCTTTCCGGGATTGTTTGGGCGATGACTACGTCGTCCAATGAGAACGGCGAATTTCTTCTGGGCACCAATCTCAAAGCCGCTCTCGTTGCTAGGCACCCAGAAAACGTGGTAAAATCCCAAGAAGGCGGGTAGAGAGTGGTGGAATCTGAGAGAGGCGGGGCCGAAGGAAGGCTCGTTGCTAGGGAACGCAGCGCCTCCCTTAGGAGAGGCTAGTCTGGGCTTGCGCCGAGTCGACGCGAGCGCGGCGCGCCGCGGTTTGAAAGGCCCGAGCCACGCGCGCTTGCGCACTTAAGCCTGCGCGGAGAGCACCCCTTCCCCGCCCCCCAAGCCGGACCCTTCCTCAGCCTCGGGTCTAGGTGAAGCCCACGGCTTCGGCATGCCGGAGATTCGCCTCCGCCACGTCGTGTCCTGTAGCAGCCAGGACTCGGTGAGGGATTGGCGTGGGGGAGGTTGGCAGACGTGAGAGAATTAAAGAGGGCACCGTAAGAACTTTTGGGGTATAAAAGAGAACTTCGTGGAAGTCCAAGGAGGGTCATGGGGATTTCCAGGGGCTAAAAGTGAATCCTGGAGGAGATGTGGAATTAGGGAATTTTTGGGTTTCTGTGGAACTTCCGGAGAGAAAAGGAGGAATAGGAGAGCCCGTAGGGAAACCTCCAGGGAAATATTGTGAGAGAAATTTGAGGCAGGGTGTGGGGGGACTAAAAGGGGAACTTAAATCTGGGGGATCGCAGAGGACATGGAGGGCCCCAAGAAGTTATCTGAGAACTGGGGGCCTAGCTGTCATCTCTGCCTTAACTCGCCTTTTCAACTCTTGTCCTCAGACCCACTGTGCAGAAAACCTTCTCAAGGCAGATACTTACCGGAAATGGCGGGCAGCCAAGGCCGGCGAGAAGTGCATCTCTGTGGTCTTACAGGTGATCCTAACCGCCCCCTCCTCCTTCTTCCTAGGGGAAATCAGGCTGCATAATCCCTATACCCTTCAACAGAAGAGACAGGAGACCCAAGGACTAAGTGTAGTCTGTGGCCCTGGGTGGTGGGTTGCTTGTGCTCTCTGGGCCTCAGTTTTCTCATCTGAAACAAAATGAACCATATGCTGTGTATCCTGCTGCCTAGACTCCGTGGGCCCCAGGGATGGAAGGTGTCCAGATTATCTGAACAAATCAACCTCATTTTAGAGATGGGGAAATAGAGGCACTGGGGCAGGGGAATGAAGTTGCCAGTCTAAGCTACCGTTTCTGGAGCGTTGGCTGGCTTCTTTCTGAGAGCCTTTTGTGCATTCTTTCACCAACTCCATACCAGGCCCTGTGAATTGGGAGGGGGGCAAACAGGAAAGAGAGGCTTGATCTGAGATGGTTGTAGGATTCTGAACAGAATCCTATCCAGATAGGAGAGCTAATGCATTTTTTAAAATCTGCCCTTTGCCAGGTGATGTCCTGGATGTTTTACCTGAGAGGTGTGATTTAAGGGTCATCATCAGTAATAAATAAATGATAGTGTTAAGACTTGAGTTCACAACTGAATGTTGTGCTTTTGACCACTTAATCATCCTGCTTCTTCTTCACACGCCAGCATTTTTTTTCCCCCAGCACTGGGGATAGAACCCAGGGCCTTACATATGTTAAGCAAACACTCAACCACTGAACTACATCCCCAGCCTTTTAAAAAATTTTATTTTGAGACAGGGACTTGCTAAGTTACCCAGACTGACCATAAGTAGTTGACCCTCTTGCCCCAGCCTCCCTAGTACCTAGGATTGCAGGTGTGCAGCACCATGCCCAGCTGTTTTTTTTTGTTGTTGTTGTTTAATTTTTATTAGTGCACCTTTGCAGTACATAATGATTACATTCATTGTGGGGAATGTACATAACATATCTTCGTTCTTTTTTGTTTTGTTGTTTAGGTTTTTTTCTCCCTGTTGCTAGGGCTGGGCGTTTAACCTAGGGCCTTATGTGTGCTACTACCCAGTGCGCACTCTTGGTCCACACACAGGCTTTCTGACTGCTGACCACTTTCCTTAGCTCTGGTGGAGGTGTATTTGGGGACAGAAATCAGTGGACTTGTGAGGGCAGGATTTACACCACTGTTTCTGATCTGAGCATAATCTTGGTCTCTGTTTTGCTCAGGGGTTCTGAAAAATCTTAAGTCACAGAGCCTTTTCACAAAATTTTCTGACTGATTGTAGTTAAGTATCTCCTAAATCTCTAATATAAGAATAGTAACAAAAAATAACATTATTTAACACTATAAACTGACAGTCACCATTCTGCATACCTCACATGGTTTGATTAATTGAATCCTCATAAAAACTCTATGGATCTGTTATTATCCCTATTTTATAGATGAGGAAACTGAAGCCCACAGAAATTACACAATTTACCTGAAAGCCATTCTTTTAAACTGTGGGAGATTCTAGACTGCTGAGGATTTAGTTTTGGGAACTGGATTCAAATCCCAGCTCTCCTTCGTAACTCTGTGACCTCAGGCAAATTTTTTCATTTCTCTAAACCCAGTCTCTCATCTGTACATTGAGGGATGAATCTAAGCCCAGGGTGCTTGTGAAAATCCGGTGACATAATGTCTGCCAAAATGCCCTGTCAACATGGACATGTTTGTGTAAAGGGAGGGGTTTGCGATTTTATTGTGGGGCGATGCTGGGTTCTCATTCAGGTGACCCCAGAGAAATGACAATCAGTTTTAGCTTTGCTGAAGGTAGAGCAGAGAGACTGGAGAAAGAAGAGGCAGTACGGGAGAGAGGGGGAGTCAGAGGGGCAAGGAACAGGACCTCTGACCTGGAAGGGACTGAAGAAATACTGCAGCTGTCACCAAAATGGGAAACGCTGCGTGGGAGCGGCCTGGGAAGGCGGTGTGTTTTGGTCCTAACGTCCAACTTTGATGTGGCTCTGAGGTAGCAACCGGAAGGCAGTCAGGAGTCAGATGTGGAGCTGGAGGCAGACATGTAGAAGCTGCCACCACAGAGGCAGAAATCTGCTCTAGGGAGTAGGTGAATTCACTTGTTCTTTCATTCACTTGCTCATTCAGCAAGTATTGATTAAGCGTCTTCTGTATTCCACGTCCCGTGTTACTTTCTGGGCTGGTTCAGCAGTGGGCAGCACAAGACAAACAGTGCTCAGTCCTGTGGAGCTGTCACGGTATTAGGGAAAGACTGACAGACGTAACATGGCTAAAACCTATGTCAGACGCTAGTTAAACTAAGGGACTGGGGATGCCTGGTTGGGGGAAGGGCAGTGTGGCCATGGGGTTTTATTTATTTTTCAATTTTATTTTTTTGGTACTGGGGAATTGAACTCAGAACCTTGTGCTTGCGAGGCAGATGGCAGAACCACTGAGCTGAATCCCCGGTCCCCTGGAGGTTTTTATTTAAATAGGGAACTCAAGGAAAGGCATCCTGAGAAGGTGACATTTGAGCAAGGTGAGCCGTGCATACATCTGGGGGCCACTCCAGAGCAGACTGTGCCCTACATGTTGGAGGAACAATGAGGAGGCCTGTGTGGCCAGGGTGGGGTCAGTCAAGACGAGAGAGGTAGGAGAGGAGCTTGTGAGCTGAAATGCTCCAGGCCTGGGAAGCCACTGTGAGGACTCTTACTCGGGTGAGACTGCAGCCGCTGGAGGCTCTGAGCAGAGAGGAGGGACGTGATCCGACTTGATCTTCACACAGTCCTTCAGGTTCTGTGCAGAGGATAAATGGCAGGGGCCTAGCATGGAAGTGGGGAGCCCAGCGCTGCAGCATTTGGTGGCTTTGCCTGTAGCGGATACCCTCTGGGAAATCCAGCTGTGTCCGGCAGTGACCAGCATACACGGCAACTGCACATTCACCCAGTGCTAATTTTAGGGTTCTTTGGAAGTGCCTGATATCTGAGCACTAAGACAGTGAGTTTTCCTACTACCCTGTATTTTCTCCAAACACTGTTTTGCAACATCTTGTAAATTGCCACCCAGGGTTCAAACCTCTGCTCGTGACAGCCTCACACTTTTTTTGTTTGCGGTAGCCACAGGAAGCTCTGTCACCAACCCGTCACCTGCTCCCAGGCAGGGAGTTCAACCTCTTTGCCAACCACTCGTGGCCCGGAGGGGATGGCTGGGACGCAGTCCAGGTGGAACCTCTATGCGTCACTGCAGGTGCTTTCTTTAGAAGCAGTGTTCAACAGCTCAGTCTCTGAATCGTCACCTTCCTCCTTTTTGTAACCATCTCCATCATCCCCTCAGACAAGGAAAGTCTTCCCCTCCATAGGCATCAGATACCCAGGTACCGATCCTCTCTTTAGCCACGCTCCGACACCCTCCACTACAGCTTCATCTTCAGACTTGGGCTCCGAATAAACTGCCAAAGTCGAATAACTTTATTTTGGGGGAAAGAAAGTCTCTTTCTCTTCTGATCTCTGCCTGCTCTCCCCCCTCCTTCTCCTGCTACCAACTGCCTCACTCTTGAGGCAACCGCTGTGAGCAGCTCATCGTGTGGCCTTCCTGGCTCATTTTGTACACATACGAGTGTGTATGAAAAATCTAAATGCGTGGCCCCTATGCTGTTCTGCCCCGTAATAGTTTGTCATGGGAATTTGCTGTCTCCTTATACGGTCTTCTAAGTGATGGGTGACTTTGCATTTCATTCACATGCAATGTTTTTCTTCACATGGGGCTTTGCCAGCTTTCTGCGTCCCACTTGTTTCACTCGTTGCATCTTCTGACAAAGGCGCACGCTCACAAACCTGGGCCATGGGTGACACCCCATGCTGAGCCCATGTCTTGACACACTTCTTTTCTGAGGTAAACGTCACAGAGCATAAAATTGACTCCATGCACGTAAGCTGAGCGAGCCAGTGCTTGGTTCTGCACGCTGACTGTTCTGTAACCATCTCCACTCTAACTCAGTGTTTTCATCACCCCTAAAAGAAACCTCAGAACCAGGAATAGTCACTGCACACTCCCTACCTCCATGTTGCTCTTGGCAACCACTGATCTTGCTGTCCCTGTTCCTTTGCCTGCTTTTGTCATTTTATATAAATGTATATGTGGGTTTTTGTGTATGCTTTGTTTTACTTAGCATAATGTTTCTGAGGTTCATTCATATTATAACATGTATTAGTGGAGCTTCTTTCCTTTTTCCTTTGGTGCTGGGGTCGAATTTAGGGCTTCACTCATACTAAGCATAGTCTTACACTGAGCTGCACCCTGGCCCTCCTTTGTGGGGGAATGGTGAGTCAGGGTCTTGCTGTGTAGTCCAGGCTGGTCTTGAACGTGTTATGTAGCCCAGGCTGGCCTTGAATTTGTGGGGATCTTCCTGCCTCAGCTTCCTCGGTGCTAGGATTACAGCTGTGCACCACCATGCCCAGCTCTCCAGTGTCTTTTATTGTTTTGAGACAGGATCGCACTGATTTGCCCAGCCTGAGCTCAGACTTATGGTCCTTCCGCCTCAGCCTCCCAGAGTGCTGGGATTCCAAGTGTGCACCGCTCTGCCTGGCTCAGGCACTGGCTTTTTTTTTTGTTTGTTTGTTTGTTTTTGGTACCAGGGATTGAACTCAGGTCCTTGAGCTTCTAAGGCAGGCATCGGAACCACTTGAGCTAAATCCCCGGTCCTCAGGCACTCTTTTTTGACATTGGTACACATCCTGAAGAACTCATACATTGTCCCTACTCTCATGGGACTTAAAAGTTGAGTGGGGGAGACAAATATCAGAGAATTACAAATATATATTTATAGACTACCAAGCACTGCCGATGAAGAGATATATAGCTGACATGTATTATATGTTACTAAATGATATTCTTAATTTTTAGCTTGCAGCAGTTTCAGAGTTGTAAAATTTTATGATGTTATTTTTTTTATCAGTTATTTTGTATCTGTTGTTGTGTAATGAGTAGTCCCATTACTCTAAAACAAGCATTTATTTCCTCCTACTTTCTGTGGGTCAGAACTTGAGAAGCAGCTTAGCTAGGAACTTTTATTTTAGTCTTTCAGGAGATCAAAATCAAGATTTTGGTTGGGGCTGCAGTGATCCTAAGGTTTGACTGGGGCTGGATGACCTGTTAGCAAGATGAGTCAGTCTCATGGCAGGCATGTTGGTGCTGGTTGAAGACAGACCAAAACCCTCTTCAACATAGACCTCTCAACAAGGGACTTGTGTATTCTCACTACTTGGTGGCCAGCTTCCCAGGTTGAATGAGAGAGGTGGGGAAGAGACTGAATCAGAAGCTGTTCTTTTTATTTCATAAACGGAAGGTCACATGACCTCACTCTACTTCCTGTTTGTTGGTGGCCAGTCACTAATTCTGGGCACATTCAAGCATTATGCACTTAGGTCCACCTTTTGAAGAGTAGTGTCAAAAAAATAAAGTGTTAGAGATTTCATGAACATACTTTAAGATCACCGTCCCTACTTTCAAATTTCAAATTGACAAATCCTCTGATATGGTACCTAAAATCATTTTGAAGAGCTTTTGTTTTATTTAAATGACTCAGTAGGTTTTGTTTTGTTTTTTTGTTTTTTTGAGACAGGGTCTCACTATGTAGTTGAGACTGACCTGGAACTCACTATGTAGCCCAGGCTGGTCTTGAACTCACAGCGATCCTCCTGCCTCAGCCTCACGAGTGCTGAGATTGCAGGCATGAACCACCACGCCCAGCTATGATTCAGTAGGTTAATATGGGGTTCAAGGTTAGAAAAATCTGAAAATCGGAAAGAAAAAACCAGTGGAAATAATACAGAGAGCAGTGACTAATGTTGAATAGTAACCAAAAATAAAATCCTCCAAGTAAACATTCTACAAGTGTATATTAATAGCATTCTCAGATGTCTTTATTTTTCCATCTTCCTTTTGTGTGCTTTTAATGTAAACTTTTTGTATATCAAATTTAACATTGAATGTCCATGTATAAATCCTGTGATTTCAAGAATAAGTGATTACAACAACCCTGACAAGGAAAAAAGAGAGAGAAATACAGCTGTCTTAGGGATAGAGTGGCACATGGTAGGAGGTGAGGACGCTCTGTACTCATCTCTGGAGAGGTAGCGTCTTAGCAGAGACCCAGAGACGCACTGGCAATGACAGTGGGAGGGTATGGCGAAGGAGGGGTAGCGGAGCAGGAAAGCAGCCCCAGGGTTGGACAGGAGGCAGCTGGGGCTCAGCCTCAGGAAGGCCCTGTCCCTGCCACCACCGTGGCCCACTGCCTCTGCCGCCTCCAGCCAGCAGTGCTGGGTGCAGGAACGCATGTTCTAACCGGCCTGCCTGGTGTCCTTGGCCTTTGCCTGCACAGTGGAGATGACATAACCGCTTCCTGCCTGCCGCTGCTCGTGTGTGACCTGGAGATAATTATAGTACCTGCCTCTCAGGGCCACTGTGGACAGCGCAGCTTCCTGTCTGGTACCATGTGAACAGCCAAATGCCGGCTGCAGTTCTGTTCTGGGTCATCTCAACTCCCTGCAGAAGGAGGGCTAATAAGATGATCCTCCCCTTTCATATATGAGGAAATTGCCCCTCAGAGACCCTGGATACAGCTTGGAAATGGCAGGGCTAGATTTGGACCCAGGCCCACCTCAGCCTGCGTCCAGGCTCCTTCCTCCCGTGCAGCCATGTGTGTCGCACTGGGCAGGCAGTGTCTCGGTGACCTCCTGACTGGGAGGTGATGGAGCAGATGAGAACAGCAGATGGTTCCCTGGGGCAGGGAAGGCAGTATAAGGTGGTGGACTGGATACTTTTGAGGGTTGTAATAACCTGTCATTCCAGGATCCTAATAAAGCCGCAAAGTGTGAGACAGGAGCCTCGCCTCAGCCTTTCCTGACTCCCCGCCATGCATGCACACCTTTCTGTACCTTCAGCTGTCAGACTGGGATGGCAGATCCTTTGGCAGAACCCTTTGTACAGAAAGTGCTTTCCCCAGCATCCTGGAGGCAGGGTCACGGTGGATGCAGTCACTGAGGGAATGTCCTGCTCCACGTTGTGGTCTGTGCTGTGTGCCAGCAGACCTGGTCCCTGCTGACACACAGAGGTGACATTCTCGGGAAGGTGGCAGCCCAGATGGGGCTCATCCCTCCTTCAGTCCCTACCCGGCAGTCAGCCTGAGGATGGAGCAGGCACTGATCTTGAGCTTTTTGTGCCCACAGCTGGAGAAGGAGGAGCAGATCCACAGCATGGACATTGGGAACAATGGCTCAGCCTTTGTAGAGGTGCTGGTGGGCAGCTCGGCTGGAGGGGCCAGTGAGCAAGACTATGAGGTAAGCAGGGCAGCGAGACACCTCCGCCGCAGATGTCCCCTGGCCGTCCTCCAGGGCTCCACTGTGTGACAATACCACACTCTTCGTTCATCTGTCCATGCACATGCAGTCTGCTCCCAAGGTTTAGCTGTTAGAAAGTGTGCTGCTATCTGCATGGGTATGCATGGGTCACTGTAATGTGATTGTGATATCTTTAACTGTTTCTCGGGAAGATACCCAGAAGGGGAATATCTGGGTTGAATAGAATTTCTACTTTTAGTTTTTTGAGGAATTTCCATAGTGGCTGTACCTAGTTTACCTTCCCACCAACCATGTAGAAGGTTTCCTTTTTCCCCCTGCAGCCTCACCAACATTTGTTACTTGCTTTCATGATGATAGCTATTCTTTCTGGTGTGAGATAAAAACTCAGTGTTTTCTCTTTTCTTTTTTTGAGACAGGATCTCACTATGTAGTTCAGACTGGCCTTGAACTTGTAGTAATCCTTCTGCCTCAGCCTCTACAATGCTGAGATGACAGGTGTGCACCACACCACGCCCAGCGTCAGTGTTCTTTTAATTTGCATTTCTCTAACAGCCAGAGATGTTGAACATTTTTCATGTATTTATATGTCTTCTTCTGAGAAGTGTCTATTCATTTGGTTGCCCATGTTTTGATTGGGTCTTTTGGGGAGCGGTTTTAATTTTTTTGAATTCTTTATGTATTCTAGATATTAGTCCTCTGTGGGAAGAATAGCTGGCAAAATTTATTCCCATTCTTTAGGTTGTCTCCTCACTCAATTGGTTGTTTCATTTACTATGCAGAGGTTTTTAATTTGATATGATCTCATTTATTGATTCTGTGTGTCATTTCATGTATAATTGCGGTTCTGTTCAGAAAGTCTTTGCCTTTGTCTTCAAGAGTTTTACCTATTTTTTTCTTTCAGCAGATTGTTTCTGTTGTAACATTTTCCACTTTTTGGGCTGGGGATTTAGCTCAGCGGTTTGGTGGCCTACCTTGCAAGCGCAAAGACCCAAGTTCAATCCCCAGTACCACAAAAAAAACAACAAAAACAAAACAAAACCAAACATTTCCCACTTTTTGTTGTTCTGGGTATAGAACTCTGGTCCTTGCACTTGCAAGGCAGGTGGCAGCAACACTGAGCTAAATCCCTGGCCCTTTTCTGTTGTAACATTTAGATCTTTGATCCATTTTGATTTTAGTCTAGTACACAGTGAGAGCTATGGGCCTGGCTTCAGTCTCCTGCATGTGGATAGCCAGTTTCCCAGCACCATTTTATTGGAAGCTGTGCAAATTTCCAAACACCTGTCCAAGGGTCCAGCAGCAAGATAACAAAAGCCAAGACAAGATCTTTACTTCGTAAAGGGTCCCAGGATGGTCAGAGCTCTTATCAGGCTAAGACACTGTCTCCTGGAGCTTGCCAGTGAGAACACAGCTTCTTGAAGGCGTAGGGGGCAGTACAGGGAACAGGAGTGAAGAGGACTGGCATGAGCAGGTTCCTGGCAGCAAGGGGACGAGACATTCTAGCAGGAGCAGATCATTGATTTAAGGGGAGATTTGTTTTTTTTCCCATAGATTAATTTTTGCTTCTATAGGAGTTCTGTGTATGAGTCATGTTGCCCTTAGCTGCAGTATTCTCTTGCCATCCAAGAGGTCAGAGAGTCATGGATCATGGAGACCTCTGCTGTGACCAGTGGCATGGAGAATTTGTTCTTTTCCTACACACCGACTACTTGCTTTGCAGGCAGGCCATTGTGGGCCAGTAGGCAGACTCAGACATGTAATGTGAAAAGCCAGTTTATGAATTTGTACTCACCCAGAGTGGTCTCCGTCACCATTTATTAAAGAGGCTGTCTTCAGTGTATGCTTTGACTCCTTTGTCAGAGGTCGCATGGCTGAATGTGTCTGGAGTTGTTTCTGCTTCCTCTGTTCTGTTCCATTGATCCACGTGTGTGTTTCTGTGCAAGTGTTTTCCCTATTTTTTGAAGAATGCTTGAGATTAGAGGGCTTGATGTTAGTCCTTTTCCCTCCTGGTTTGATTTTTGAGCACTTTTGGCTGGAGTGTCTCGCATAAATTTACAGTGTTTTCTTCACTTTCTTCATCATTGCCTCAATCATTACCCGTCTTCATCATCTTCATTTTTATCAGTGTCAGTTTTACCTCTTTCTGTGGACCCTGCTTCCATTTCCAGGCAGGTCGCTTTCCAGGTACTGACTGGAGAGGTTCGCAACCTCCTCTCGTTGTGCTGGGTCTGGATCTTCTTCCACAGTCACAAAGTCCTGTCTGCTCAAGTGAATGGGCCTCAAACTTCACTGCCAATCCAAGGCCTCAGGTGGAGGAATTTCTCAGCCCCCAAGTGAAGCTGCACACTTTAAAGCTGCCAGCACGTGTGTGTGTGGTCTCAGAGCTGTCATCTGCCTTTTGCAGAGCCCAGGCTAGGCTGGAGTGTAGCTTGGAGGTAGAGTGCTTGCCTGCCTCGTGCAGGGCTCTGGGCTTGGTCCTCAGCACTGTGAACATAAATAGATAAATAAATAAATATCTAAAAAATCAAGGGATCAGCACCAAGTCAGGCTAAAGCATCATTTATTGAGGGCAGGCATTTCCTCACCTGAGACTGAGACCGAGACCACACCAGTTATGGTGGGTTTTTGAGACAGGGTCTCCGTGTGTTGCCCAGGCTGGCCTGGAGCTTCTAGGCTCAAGGGATCCTCCTGCTTCAGCCTCCGGAGTAGCTAACGCGACTTTCATACTAGTTATTTTAACAGAGAGAACTTAATATCAAGGATTGATAACTGGGTGTTACTGCAAGACTGAGGTCTGAGGAAGAGCCACTCCCATCCCTAGGACTGGGGGTTAGGCAGAAAGAGGCGGGAATGCAGGAGACAGATGGCCAGCAGTGTGGAGGTGGGGTCCTCTGGGCCTGAAACCCAGAAGCTGAGGAGCAGCCCCGCC